CTTGAATGCTGTTAAGTGTATAGAAGGAATCTGCTATTTTCATGATGTTTAAGAGATCAATTCTGGAGTTTGCAAGCCAGAGTGTATCGTCTATATATGCCAATGCTGAAACGTGATTTGAAAAACTTTGTATATTACGTTTCGTAACGTCAGTATTTCAGTGGATATGTTGCGTATAACCATGTGATGAGTTTTGTATAAAATAAAGAAGTGGGTCATAATATATACACCATAAGATGAGGGATATAATTTCACCTTGGTCAATACCCGAGAGGACTAAGTAAGTATCAGAATTACCGTATGCAGTAAATGCTTAGTTAAAGTAAGAAAGAAAGATTGAAATTAAAATTTTATAAATGCTTTGGGGATTTGAAGGCGGCTAAGGGCTTTGATTAACATAGTGATATTAACTCAATCATAAGCTTTTGACATGTCTTGAAATAAAATCCAAAGATTATTGTGATGAAACGAAGTATCGTAATTGACGTTATCAAATATATGTATAGGTTCAAAGGTGCTTCTGCAAGATAGACCAGCAAAGTTATTTTCTTTGAGAATGTTATTAGTGGATAAGACTTTTAAAAGTCGGCTATTGATCAGTTTTGTGAGAGCTTTACGTGGACATTCTAGAAGCATAATAGGTTGGATAGACGAAATTTAAATTCCATCTACTAGGCGCTATATTGAGTGATAAACATCTACAAATGATAATCCAGAAGCATTTTGATGTAAAGGGCCAAGGTGTTTTAACATTTCGTTAGATATTTTAGATGGTCCAGAAGCTTTTCCATCAGGGAGCGCCTGATGATATTGTGCCATTCTTCTTCTGAAGGGTTGCATAATGAAGTTATATATATTTAGATCAATCGATTCGTCTGGCATATAAACTTATTTCCAAACCTCTGGGAGAGATGGGTTGGAATATTGTGAGCCAACCACTTTTTGAAAATGTCTTACCATTTTATTTTGAACATCCTTTGGATCCGTAAGGAGTTCTTTATCAGGGCTGTTGTTATTTATACATTTGTCTAATATAATAGTAGTGCGAGAACATTCTAATAACAAGTCGAACATAGCTTTTTGGTCATCCACAAAGTTAGTATAACATCTTTCAATAGCTTCATTGATAGCGTTAGTTTTAAGTTCACCTTCGTTTAATTTTGTGGCTGTGAAAAGAACTTTACAAAGATCGACTAAAAAGGGACAGATTGTTTTAATTTCATGTATTGAAGGTGATTGATATCTGAAACTGTTATAGCATATTCTGCTGAGAAGGTTTGTATCTTTATACATCAGGTGGTCCATTTGGGGTCGACTGTATTATCCTTAATGCATTTATTACTTGACTTGCAAAGTTTTTGAACTATCTTGATACGTTTATAAATTAATTTAAGAATACGTGGTCTAAGATCTCAGTTGTGATGCAAAGTATGCTTATTAGGGATTGATTTGGTGGCAGTATCTATAATTGATTTTTGTATGAGATCCCAGTAGTAGTTCAAATGGTATATTGTGTGTATGTTATTTAACGACATATTATTGAGTCTTGTATTTTTACATCATTGATCAACTGAAGTTCCAAAGATGGACTAGTCATCATCAGACATTTTGCCATATCGATAGACTAACTTTTTTATTGCTGCACGTTTAGTGAAGGATGGGTTAATAGATGTTACTAAAATAGTTGCGTATATGATAGCATGATCTGACAAATCGTTATCAACTTTTTCTACTACTTGATCGATGAGATCCAGGATTAGTGAGGAGTGCATAAAAATGTGATCTATTGTAGAATATCCTGTATTAGTTTTATAGGTAATGAGATCGTTAATCGATTTTTGATTTTTGACGAGATCTAAATTGTTGACCATGTGAAGATTATCGAGCGAGATGAAAAAAGCTTTTGAATTTGAAGGATTGGAGGCTCGCGATGGATCAGCATTAAAGTTTCCAAGGATTATTGTAAGGAAATTCTTTTAGTATGCATCATTTATTAGGTCTAAAGCTTTTTTGTAAGTTTTGTCTTATAAGGTTTTATCTGAACTAGAAATATAAACGTTGATAATACGAAGTTTGTGTTTGTTTTTAAATTGGAAATCTATCGAATAAATGCGGTAGAAGAAGGAGGAGTGGTGAAAAACGTGGTCAGCTAGGTGTTATTTAATGAGGAAGCCAACTCTAAACCCTATGCTTTAGGCGGAAGGTCAGTATTAAAAAAAGAAATAAATTTATTTGAACAAATAGGTTTTAAGGAATGTATGTGAGATGAATTTTTAAAATTTGTTTCTTGTAAGGCAATAATATCTAAATTATAAAGAGAGTAAAGATTGAAAAGGATTTGTTGTTTATGCAATAAAGTAAAAAAACGAGTGTTATGGTGGCGATATTAAATGTGAGGGGCATCGTTTCTGTATTTGATAGGTGTAATATCATAATTATTTAAAGAAGAGTTCAGGGCAGGGACTTCTGTATCATCTTCTGAAGTGATAACTACGCTAGACATGTTGAGTTTAGGAATCAGAATTATGTGTGCAGGGTGAGTATCGTCTAGGATCATATATTGGATGTTAGCAATGGCTTTGAGGGTGATATTAAGTTTTTTTATCGTGAGTTTGTTGTGGTTTCATAGTTCTTCAATTTCTGCATGAAGAATTGCAATGTGCTTTTCTTGTTTGATAACACGAGAGTCCGATGTGTTGACTTCTGGTTCATAGACAGTGTCTGTATCCATAGCACCTTCTGCCTTGACCGCTTCATTGAGTTCAGCCGCTTTTTTAGGTGTAAGTGTGAAAATGTTTAGGTGCTTTTCAACTTTGTCGAAACAATGCATAGAAAAAGCAAGGTCATTGTGAATTGTTGCAAGAGTAGCCGTGATAGCATCCAGTTGATTTAGAATTTTTTGTGTATCCATTAATTCGTGCATAAATGTTTTAGGTGATCAGTGTAATACGTCTGCCTTGTCTATTTATTCTGACCACTATTTACGCACGTAGATTGATTCATCAAGAGAGGACTTATTCTTTAGTATCTTAGGATCCTTGATACGTGTTAAAAGAGTTTTAGCTGGAGGTTTGACATCTTTAATTCTGTTCGCAAATGAGAGGGGATTTTTTGGATCAAACATGATCTTCTGGTCATGTATAAATGTGACCTTGAGACAGAGCGCAGGTGCAGAATAATTTTTAAATTACACAAGTTTATAGCATTGGTATAGGTTTTGGGTTTGTCTATCTTTAGGAGTTGGTCTTTTCCATTTACAATTTCGCGAGTCATGCAACAATGCGTACATAGGTAGGTATCAGATGCAGTTCAGATGAGTTTCCTATTATCAAACTCAATGGGGTCTCCATTTTTTGCTGCGTCGAGATCTTCTTTATTACTGAAGTATATAAAGGCGTATTGTAGATTTCTATAATTTGATCGTGCTTTGGGGATTACCCATGTGATAGCATTAACTGCTTTACTGATTAGCTCTAATTTTCTACTAGTAGTATCTTTAGAAAGGTTCGTGAGTTTCAAAGCAAATTGGAAATGAACCTTGATTTCATCGACTGTAAGAGAACATACATGTACTCTGACCATATCTTTTAAAATGAAAAGGCCAGCATGAGAGTTAAAAAAAAATAAGTCTGTCTTAGGTGCATACGAAATAGTCACTTACTGCCAAAGATTTTTCATCATCATTGTGCATTTGGTGATCGTACTGAATCTGGCAAACGTAAATCAGATGATCTGCTCTGTTGTAGAGATTGGGATTTCTGTGACCTTGATCGACAAATTTGGGTCAAATTTAAATAGGGCAGGTGTAAAAAGGAGTATAAACGTGACATTGTCTATATTGGAAATTTTTTCAGCCATAGCACGATTGGCATCATCTCATGACATAAAGCCCAAACAGACAATTTTTAACATTTTATTTGTAGGGTCTAGTTTGATAGATGCACCAATGAATGATGGGAATGCTGCGCTATTGAAAAGTTCGCAGGCTTTGTTGGTTTTTTCTCTAAAGAATTTGTTAGAAAGGAAGGTTTCGGCGGCACAGTATACGTAGAAAGTAGTCGCATCTCAGACTCTTTCAAAAGTAATGGTGTTTCTAGTAGTATCTTTAAATTTTCTGAAGCATCAAAAACTTGGTCTTCATCCATTTTATTTTCAGCTCTGAGGGTCATCGTTTCACTATCCTTTGGTTGAAAGATAGTAGGAGGACTAGTAATAGCTATTTTTTGTGTGTTGTTTTCTTTGGAAAACCAGGTAGTTGTATCATATTCAAAATTTTTTCCTTCTGCGAGGATTGCTTCCACTTGTTGGTCTTTGCTCATATCACCAGCTAAGAAAATATTGGTGGTAGTTATGACTTTTGATGGTTCAGCTGGAGTTTCTAGTGTTTGGGCAGATCTGCCAGTCATAGTTTTCTTCTAGGGAGGTTCTTCTTTGTTTTTTATTGGAGAGTCTAGGCGAGTTCGTAAGTTGCGGTTATTGTTTTGTGAAAATTTTTGATTTTTTTCTTTTCCCATTTTTTTTTTTTTTTAGTTTTGGAGAGAGGGGAAAAGTTTTTTTTTTTTTTAATTGACAGTGGTTCAAAATAATAATATTTAAGAACAAATATTGTATCACATTTGATAAAATTTTTCTCATCCAAATTCAAATATGTTGTACCATTTTTGCGGTTGTAAAATGGTTATAATAACTATCAGCGTGGTGATTGCTTGGACAGTCTACAACTATTTCCATCCTATCTAACCAATATCATTATCGTAGATATCTCTTTCAAATGTTAAAAATACCAGTCGGTATTTATTCAAAAGTAAAAACTTAAATTAATGCATTCGGCATATTGATATAATGACATGATCGACTAGTTTTGCGATTTCTAACTATCTAAATATTTCCTCTACATTTTAGATATTCGTGTAAAAATGCACCTTGACAGAAACAATTACTGGCTGTCAATACTATTTCTTTGTAGCCTAGATCCCTTCCTCTATTTTATAAGATGTTAGCTAGAATCTATCATCAGGATTTTGAATACGATTCTTATATTGCTCGATCAGAGCCAGAGGCTTATTTCATGATCATATGTGGCTTTTGTAACACCTTTAATTGATGTATTTTACTGCACCAGTCTATTGAGAAATTTAAATCATCATCAACATTAGCATAATGCGTTTCCAAAATAAACTGAATGTTCTCGTAAATATTCAACTCATCCATTAACTTGAATGAGATAATAAAAATCTTTTGATCCTTTTGCTTTTTTAATAACTATCTCTTTTTACCGACGAATTCTTACGTATTATTTAACTCTATCATTTAATCCAAATAACCGTTATAATTTAAGGTGTAATAAGAAAAGTCAGTAATAATAAGTTTATCACAATGTTTGTAAACGTGTCTAAATGTCTATGATATTCGTGAAAGTTCTTTTTTTACCCTCCATAGAAATAAAAAAAAATTTTTTTGGATTAATTATATATACTGAGATGATGATCAAGTTGTACGAAATGCTCACAGACCTCTTTATAATCACGCCTTTTATAGTCATACACCCTTTTATGTAGGGATGTTAAAATCCAGTCTGGTCCTAGTCCGATCCCGAACCTCCCAGTCCTAAAGAAGTCCCGGTCTATAGGACTTGAGTTCTAGGACTGGATTCTAGGACCAGGTCCTGAGACTGCAGTCCTAGGACCGCAGTCCTATAGAAATTAGGACTTGCAGTCCTTGGACTTGATCCTATAGTTCAAAGGACTTTGAACTGGATCAGACTTCGTGGGACTGTTTAGAACCTAGTCCCATTGGACTTTTTAACATCCCTAGTTAATTCTCTCCAAGCTTCTAATCATTTTTTGATTAAAATGTCTTTCTAAATGACAACACATGAACTTTCATCAAAATCTCCTAGAGATATTTTAATTTTATTAGAAATTAATAAATTTATTTAACAGCTATTATTGAATAACATACCATCATTTCGTATATTAGAACTTCATCTTAGTTTAATTAACAAAAGAACTTCAGGCAGTAGTGATTTACACGCGAATCTTAAAATACAAATGATAAATAGAATTATATATCATAAAAATTCGCCTTTTAGAAAATAAAATACAAGGAATATTTGCATAATTGCAATCCGCCAATAAAATTGCCAGATATTGATTTATTACTGCTATTGTTCTAATCTATAAGATTTATTTGACTTAAAAATAAAATTATATAAAATGGTCACAAAAATTAATTATACCTACTTTATCATTAATCCTATATATTTTTTCCATTACTATTCTTTGCTTTAAGTAAACAATTTTACCATTTTCAAAATGTATATCAGCGAAGGAGAGGTCAAATAAAAACTCGTTAAAATTTTGAATACTTATAATTATATTATTATTACCTGAAATTATATCCATTGTAACAACATATTTGAAAAGAGAAAACTGAAAAATTTCACTAGTTTGTTGTAACAAAATGAGAATCTATAAGTGAGATCTGGAAGTATTAAGGATTTTGTTATCAATGTAATATTTAATAAATTATAAATCAAAAAATATCTTTAAATTTTGAAAAATTCTTAGATACTTTTTAATATCAAAATAACAAATATGAAATATGTTAACTTATATTATGAACCTTTTTTTTAATTTTGACAAATCTAATTTAAAAGTTCAAGATCAATTTTTCATAATTTTCACGAAGTAAATATTGAAATTTTCCAAATGAAAATTATTTAAATAAGTTCAGTTTTAATATAAGTAATCCAGTTTATACAAAAATGTAAATATAAATTATTCTAAACCAATCTGATTTACAAATAGTTTAATAACAAAAAAAATTGCTTATTACTAAACTCTCTTAAAAAAAATATAAGTGATTTCATGAAGTAATCGCCTCTATATCATCAATAAAAATATCAAATTCTTTTAAATGTATTTTTAAAGACAATTATTAAATTAGTTTTAGTATTATATCATTAATAGTAGCAATATTTATTGCAATAGTATTTGATCTACTAACTTTATAAAAAGATTTATATTAGGTAAATCCTCTAAAATTAAAATATTTAATAATTTAAATATTTTAAAGTAAAATAATGAAATAAATTTAAAATAATAACATACTTTTAAGGTAAGAAAATGTCTCATTTTAATATAAAAAACTAAAGTTATTACTTGAAAATAAAAAATTTCATTGAGTATTTTAAGTTATACAGTAAATGCAATATTTTCACATATATATCATTATATATTTACAGTATCACAAGATTATTAAAATAGCTAAAATATAATTATAATTTGAATTAATAATGCTCTAATAGGCAAAAGTTCAAAAAAGTTAAAAGCAAGATATCTATTAGTAATTTGGACATAAAATGTTGAATATATAATGAATGAATTATAGTAAATATTCTATTAAATTAAATAATAAAATTAATGATTAGAATAAAAATTTATCATTGAAAAAATTAAATTGACTTTGTAATTTCTGCAAGCTTTATGCTAATTATTTCAATTGAGTTTTATTCTTTAATCAAAGGATCCTGATCATTTAATTAGTAGTTTAATTTGATTATATCATTTGATTTAATCTAATAGAAATAAGATGAGCAAATAAATTCTAAAATTTAAAATTATTTTCCAAATTTATTAGAATTCTTAAGTTGTTTAAATTGAAATATTAGATCCTGTGCTTTTGATAAAGTATTTCTCATCATCAAACTTAAACTAACCAATTAAATAATAAGAATAATACAAATTTTAAGCTAAAATAGATAAGTTATCCTATTATTTGTTTATTAAAACTATTAATCTTTGATGTAATATATTCAATAAAAAAAATCTAAAGTCTTATAAAGATTTTCAAAATGATAGATCTCTGCCAAATATAAATTTAATTATCTAAAATCAGATTAAAATTTAAAATAAGAAATAATAAGTTATAAAAAAAATTGTTAAATAAAGTACTTTATAAAATTATTTAAATAGTTAATATTCACAAATTTGCAAAATGATTTTTAACTTATACTTGTCATATAAATAATAATGATAAATTAGATTTAAAAAGATTAATAATTACTACAATGTATATAATTTAGTCTCAACTAAAAACTTTTTAAGTAATCAAATTTAAAATGTTAATTATGTATTATATAATAGGAAAATCTTATAATTTTATTGATACATATCAGTTACAAGACATGTCCTCTCCAATGATTTTGATAGTAATTGATTTTTATGTAATATATAATACTATGACTTTCTTATAAAAATGCTTCAATTAACTTATAGTAAATAATATTTTGATCTTAGACAAGTTTTATTATCTAAGTTTTGTGTTTTCATTCTATGCTAAAAATATATTTGTTGCTTAATTCTACACCAAGTAGAATCTGACTTAAGAAATGCTATTTTTTAACATAAATTCTGAGATTTTCTTTCAAATACTTTAATTTTAAACCAGCTTTTTTGATTAAAAGGCAATAAATAAAGAGCACTGCGAAATATATTATTTATACAAAGGTTCTTTACTTGTGACTTTTAGACGTTTGCTTAGAGACATTATTTAATAAGATAAATTAAGATAAGTTAAGATTTTCAATTCGAAACTATTTATGCCATTTTTCTTTCTTTAGACTCTACTAAGATAGATAAGTTAATTTAAAGAATCAGAATAATAAGGCAATTAAAGAGATCAGGTAGAAATTTGGAATCTTAATTGTAATAAAAAGTTTTATTTTCAATCATTTTATATTGAATTCTAAATTTTTGGTAAATTACTAATATAAATATTTAACTTTATAATAGAATACTTCAAAGGATATGTAAAATATCGTAATATCAGAATTCTGGATTCTAATAAGGGATTTCAAATGATATGTAAAATATCGTAGTATTAGAATTCTAGGTTCTAATTAAGGAAAATTCGAATGCATTAAAGTCTAAACGTATCTTTATATATTATTAATAATATTTATTTATTATTTATATGCAAATATCAGTTATATTTTATTTTTGAACCTTGTGGCAGTTATTTCTTACATACTGTTTGACTCTTTCAGCCATCCAATCTGAAAAGATAGCTTGAAGCTCTGATAATATTTTTAATATTGCAGTTTCAGGTAGTTTTTCTTCAAATTCAAATAATTGGTCAAGTATAGCTTTTTCTGCATTTGTAATAGTATGATGTATCTTTCTTGGATGGCTAGTATCAGAAAGTAATACCTGTTGTAATAATGACAAAGTATACTGTTAAATAATTGATAGATGAGTAGGTTTGTCTACTTTACTACTTTTTTGTTTTTTCATACTTTCAAGTTGAGCATAAGTATAATAACTTATATTTTGAGCATGACGTCTAACAGTTACCTGAGATTCAATTTTGTATACATTCTGCATAAGAATTTGTTGAAAGCGTGATTTGTTAGACTCATAAAAAGAAAGAATATTTTTAATACCCTTTTCATTAATTTCTGGTGCATTTTCAAACAGATAGTGCATTGTAAGATTTGAATGATCAAAGGCAGATGATAACTTTTCAACTAAGGACTAGAGTGAATCTTTCTGTGACTTAATCGCATGAGCATTCTGGCTTACCACAATATCATCAGTGTATTTTGCAAGAAGCATTGATAAACGATCTTTCTCACTCTGAGCTACCTTAATCTTTGACATCATGGTTGGCTAGTTAGTAATATTTTTAGTAATATTTTGTTTTATAAACTTTACGCTATATGTTTCAAGTACTTCATTAAAAACTAAATAATGTTCTTCTCTTGTAAGATTTACTGAGCATACTGTTTGTAATAATTTCTGTAGCTGTAAATCATCATAAACTTGAGCCAAAAAATGTGTAACGGAACTTGCATACTTGAATTTTCCAGCTGTAGGAAAGAGAGGTGCGAATGCAGCTAAATTTGACATCTGCATTCTATAATTTCTTCTTCTAATTCCTATTTTATGACCCATTAAGTATCTGGCCCAACAGAAGAAAAGATACTATACCTTTATGAATTGATTATTACCCTTTAAAATATCATTCATAGTTTCTTCTTTGTTTTTCATATGCTGACACAATGCAATTCTGACTGCAATCCAAATCAATTCTAATACATGATATATTGCCCAGTAATCTATAACATGTTCAAGTTTATCTAAGTATTATACACCAAGAGTTGCTGCAAGGTTAAATATTCTATATTCTGAGAATATTGTAATTAAAGTGCTGCATATATCTTTAGATGTGTGTCACTGTCCCAAAAGAAGCTAAGTATCTTTGTGAATTTCCTTATAGAAGATTAATCTTCTAAAAATTGCTTGGTCACATGCAATACATAGACGATTGTTATCACCATAAGGTAAATAATCACAGTACATTTCACATGCTACATAAACATTATCATTGTAGTTAGGAAGATCACCAGGTTCCAATATCACAACATTTGGTGGTAGTAAAGTATTACAACCTATAGGCACTTTTTTGATGATTTCTAAATGTACATCTTTCATATCGAATTCATTTACACGAGTTTCTAACAATATATTCAAAATATTTTCATACATTATTAAAGGTTATTAGTAGTTGGAGACTCCTTAAACAGTGGTTGATTAACGAATTCATGGTCTCTAATTAAGTTATCAAAAGAAGTAGAAAGAGTGAACTGAAATACCATTCGTAATGTTATATGTGAAGTTTGTCACATAATATCAAAAATATTGCTATACGAGAATGTAGAAGCTTTAAAATCAATATTGTCAATTACTGCTAAATTTCAAATATTTGATCTCTCGATTAAATTCTCTCTGGGGTTTGTATGATGCATTCTAAGTTTTTCAAGATGATTTTTATGTCTCATAGTATAAGATATGACACAAGCTGAATAAAAGATCTCTCGTAAGTATGGCAGTAATTTTGGTTTTGGCACATTGATGATATGATGTGTGAAAGCCAAATTTTCACTTCAGGGAAAGTGATGGTTAGTAACATGGAGGTCAGTAAAGTAGTAGTTTTTAATATTTGACTTGTATTGAGCGATTTTGGAAGAAGTCCACGTTGAAGTCTTTTTTTATTAACAACATTTTGTTTTCATTGTTGTAGTACTATGATGAGAGTTTGAAAGAAATCACAAATGAATTTAAGTAATGCTTCAAAATAGTTTTCATATAAACTTGGATTTTCTAATTGACTGATATTTCGCTAAATTTCAGAACACAAAAATAAAGCCTTTTCCAGAATTATCATATGAAGCCTTTCCATTAATCTATTCAATTCAACTTTTCCCATTCTCATTGCTGTTCTAACAAGTAACTTGCTTGGAAGTTTCACCACTTTCATTTCTGATGAGCTTTTATCTATGGTTTCATTGTTAAAAATAGCTAATGCTAGAGTTATCAAAGATAGGAGTCTTTCTTGTAACTTATTATCATTTGATTCTGCTACTGATATTATTCATCTTCTGATATGCTTTAGAGCATCACTTGCATCATCACAATGTTTTTCACGTTCAGTACATGATATGTTCTTTTAGCCTTTACCTGGTCTTTCGTATAATTGTCCACCCTGATTTTGAAAGCATTCTAAACAGATATAACGTGCACAATAGCCTAAAGATGATTTTTTTGTGATAGATCCTTCGGTAAATGCAGAACAGTTATGAACACCAATACAAGGTATTTGAATATTACGCTTATTAATACTCTATGAATGCTTTTTGCAATTGTTACTACGGCTAAAGAAACATTTTTTTTATTACAGAAAATGCAGAAGCGAAAATGAATAATGCTCTGCTAAATTGAATATAATTGTTTCGTGCCTTTATCATGAAGTTGATTCTGATCGAAAAGAAAATAAGAATAATATATTTCAAGCTGATGAAGATTACTCTTAACATCTTTAACTGCATCTGCGTCTATCTCTCATGTCTCTACCATTTATTCCAATCGCCGTTGGTTTACCATACCATTACAATATTTTATTTCGCCTTGATAGTATCTATAATTACATATGCTGTTAAATTTATGCCTTGCGTGAAGGTCCTTTCAATTTCTACGTTTATATCATCATGTATTGTTTGAAAGGAATTACTACAAGAGTCAGAATTTTCAGGTTCAACTTAGCTTCAATCCATATCATCATTTTCATTATCATAATTTAATAAGGCTCGAGTACTTGCAAAAGCAATTTGATCAATATTATCTTTATTACTTTTTTCAGAAGTATTAGTATTACATTCCTCAAAATCTATGTAAGTAAATTCAAAATCACTCATTTTGTTTTGAATTATTATTTTTCGCAGAAACTTAATTGTCGTAAATATGTAGGTGTAATTTATTTAAAGGCAAAAATATGCATACATGTAAAATTTGTACAACAAAATAAGATTAACATTTTTTAATTTAAACAAAAGCAAATTTATTTTATTACAAAGAATAGAATTGAGGATTTTATATTTAATGAGAATTATTTTTTAACAAGAGATGAAAATTATTTTTTATTTCATTATTTTAATATGATATCACATTTACATCATTTTTTTGCCATTTTTTAATTACTAACTATGTTCCCTTCACAAATAGTTTCCTGATTATGCAGATTTCCCTAATAGCTAAGTATCTTGAATATATTTAACTCATTAATTATTAATAAAATTTATGCATTTTCAATATGACGCTTCTCTCGATCAATTCTGGATCAGAACTATATAGACAGAGTTTGTCAGGTTGGAAAATTCAGATTAGATTCTTGATGTGAATCTGGATTGTTCTTGAAGTATATTCAGTACTATATAATAAAAAGAAACAATTAATTAGACCAATCGATTAATTATATATTTGTGATATTAACAAATAGTAGCAGAAATGAATCTGAAGTTAAATACATTAATTGTTTCGTCTGATTCCTTAATATTTAAAATCTAAAGTCTCATCCTATACTCATCTAATTAAAAAATATTTTCCTTTATCTGAAAGCGTACTCTGCTAAAAAGGTTTTTAAAAAGTGATCAAGGTTTATGATTAAATCATTTTCTTTCATCTCAATATTAGTTTGAAGAAAATGGTTAAAGTCTGACTGACTAAATGTTCTCTAAACTTGTATTAAATAAATTAAGCGAAGCAATTTTTCAAAAGAAATTGATAAGTGAAAGAACATATAGGCATAAATGATAAATTTAAGGTCTGAAATAATAAAAACTGTATATTATTACAAAGATTAGTACACACTAATTTCAAACGAAGATTCTCTTTGAACTAAAAAAAATAGAGGTTGGGATTTTACGATATAATAAAGAAATATCACAATTATATTTCTGACTTAAATAGTAATAAATAATCAGTTTCACAAATATAAAGTTATCATAGAAGAAACTTTTGTAAAAGCAAAATTTTCCATATAAAAATAAAGTGATTGACATCTAATTACCATATGAATAACATTTGAACCCCTGTAATAGGAACATATCCCATGACTGATATACATATTACATGATAAATTAGTTAAAAGTCATCATAATGATTATAATTCATATTTGTATATTATATATGTATAACAAATTAACATTTATAATTAATAAAGATAATAAAGATATTATTAGTTAAATGCTTAAAAATATATTTTAAAATATATTAATATTTATTAAATTATTATAATATTGAGTTAATATAAATTCTGAAATCAATATTATTTGTTACTTTAATATTAATCTATATTATGAAATGTATATAATAAATATAATTGTATATAAAATATGATAAATAAGTTTTAAAATTTTAACTTTTAAAATTCAAATAGATTCTACAATATTAAATATATTAGCTAAGATTAATATTATTAATATTTTTAATATTTTTAACTTTTTTAACATTTTTAATTTATTTATATTTATTATCTTATACATTATTATTATTTATTTTATTATTATTATTATAGTTAAATTATATTTTATTATTTGTATTTATTTTAGCATTATAATTTACCGTAAAATTTCAAATTTAAATATCCTCTTTTTGCAATCACGTAATGGATAAAATTAGTAAGGATGCTTAATTTTGATTTTATATTGGAATTTTTTTTTAAATAAAATATTCAAATTAAAATTCAAAATTTTTTTTATTTTTCTCGAATATTTAATTTTATTTTTAAAGTTTTTTTATATCAGTTTTTTTTATTAGAAGGAGAAGAATATTTTTTAATAAATTATGTTTTATCACTTTATCTATCTTAATCTCAGTATTTAGGGTCATACAAATATATTTAAACATTTTTTATTTCGGTTTTTTTATCAGAAGAAAAGGAAAGGAGGGGTAGTATTTTTTATTATTTTTTCGATTTTTAAAAAAAATGAATTTTTTTTATAAAATTTGATTGCTTCAATACTTGATAACTATTCTACCAACTTTACTCAACTTCTTAACAAAATTTTATTGCTCTGATACTTAAATTACTAGCTTACAAATATTACTCAAGAATAATACTTTTTTAACAAACTTAAATGAATGGACTAAATACTGATATTTAAATTTTGAAACTAAACTTAATTAGTTTCTCCTTAATCTTTTTTATCCATAATAAATAATTTTTTCATTCTTGATTTGTTGAATAACATTTTTTTTTCTTTTTGTAGGATTCACTTAATCTTACAATATCATCATAGGCTTTTCTTTTGCTTCTTAACATTCTGTTCATATAAGTCTTAGGTTTTTCTTCTCATATTCTGTCCAGTCATAAGCTTCTAATTCTTATTAAAGGTGAATAATAGTAAATAAAATGTATTTTTTTAACATATTAGTAATAAAAAATATTTTTAACATTTTATTTTCTTTACTTTTAGGACTAGTATAAATTTTTTAATAATACATGAAAAATATTATGTAAGAAAATTTTTATTTTGAATCAAATTATTAATTGCTAACAATTTTAATATCATCATCTAACTCTTCTAAATTTTTTTTTTCATACTCTTTCAATCAATTTATTAATTTCTTTATATATCATATCATCTTCTGATCTATTTAACAAATTAGAGATAAAACATTTTTTGAATGAATAAAAGATAATTTGATTTAAAATAGCATCTCAAGCTCTTTTGACCCAACAACATACATCATTAATCTTTACCTTTTTTAAATTACCTGCTGCAGTTACACCTAAACCATCTTTACTCATTCATTAATATCATTTATTTCACAAATTATCTTTAAAAGATTTATTAATAGATATATCTAATAGTTAACATATACTAGTTAATTCTGCAGGAATAACAGTTAACCGAAAATTATGTTACCTAAATTTAGTTTTAACACTTTTCTTCAAATAATTACGAAAAGAATCATAAATCATTATGGCAGGTTGTTTTGATAAATTTTCAGACATCTTAATTTTAAATAAAAAATCTATGTAATTTTTCATTAAATTTGAAGTTATCCATCCATTATTTTAGAATCAACAAATAACATCTTTTGGAATAACTTCACCTTAAGGAAGTTATTTACTCTTGAAAATACAAATTATAGGATACTTTGTACCATCTTATAATTATATTAAATTTATTATATTAGTTTTGAATTAATAATATAAAAATAAAAAATAAGATTAATACTTGCTGAACAAGTTAAAACTACAGTAAAATGATTTTTATCATTTTTGGTAGTATGAATATATATTGTTTTATCTCTTTTATTATTAACTATCATATTTCCTATTATATCAAACCACACTGAAGTTTCATCCATATTAAAAATACTATTCAAATCAAAATTGTATTGTGTTCTTAATTTTATAATAAATCATCTAAATTCATCCAATTTTTGTTCTATATCTTCAGACAATTTTTGTGAAATTTTGGTCCTTCTTCTTAATGATAAATTATATCTCTTTATAAAATAATTAATCCAAAAAAGATTCCCTTGAAACTCATATTCTTCTGCTAGATATAATATTTGAATTGAAGGTTCTTTGAGAATTTTAACCATTTGTAATCTTATTGAAATATAATTAACAGCAAGCCCTTTTTTTTTTGTTTAATTATCTAACTATATAAAAGATTTTCTGCTTCAGGATAAAAGGTTTTTCTTTCTAGAGCTTTAGTACATTTTTTTGTTTTCTTCTTCCTATTTATTACTTTGTTTTATCCATTTTCCTATTATTGAAATATTTAATTTAAAATATTTTGCTGTAGCATTTCTTCCATATTTTTAAGCATACTTAACCATTATTAATTTTTTTTCAAATAAATATGATGTACACTGTCTTATATTTACTTTTTTATATGTCATTTTTTTTACAAGTAACAGAAAAATAGATTGATTCAGATAATTAATAAATATCATTTAATTCTAATTTAAAATGAAAAATTTATGGAAATTTAATTTAGTCATACAAAATTGTCTTTCATTTC